CATCGAAAACCACAGCCCAGGGGGTCATTTTACTGATTTCAGGTACCGTCCAGTCCCTTCTTGAAACAGCCAGGGGTCTTTTTAATCCCCCTTATTTAGCTGGGGGGCATTTGAACAGTCTTGGGGGCCCCCCTGACACTAGTTCTTCTTGTTACTGTGGCACTCTCTTTTTTTGGGGAATATTTCATCTCCTGCCAAGTCTTTAGCTTTTAAGGGAAAGTGTTTTTTCCCCGTGCAAGTTTGGTAAAAACCCCTCAAAATTTTTCCCAGGTTTTTAAATTTTCGTTTTGGGTTGCATCGGGTCGAGGCCTTTGGTTGAGTCGTCGGAAAATGGTACGTCACAAAGTGGGGAGAGGCTGTATACAAGATTACAGTAGGACACGGATCAAATACGTCCCCTCAAAACGACAGAGTTCCCCGTTCCAAACCTCGTCTTTAAAAAATTCGTCGCAAGGGGGGAGCTTTACTAAATGGTAGGGGGTTTGTGGTCATTTTGATATTTTTTAATGTTCCTTTGCACTTTTATAAAATTTTTTGGTATATTTTTTAAAACCCTTTCGGGTTTTGAGAGGCCCTCTCCTAACTTTTTTCCAGGGTCAAAATTTTTTCGAAAAAAAAAATTTTTTTTCTTATGAAATATAGAAAATCTTTTCCCGATCACAATGCACCAAAAGATAAAAGTTGATGGAAAATTTTTGGAATTTAAATTCCGAAGTTATGGGCTCGACGATGTTTTGCATCGGCGTTTTTATCCCCTTTGGCCCTTTTTTCAGCCAATCCCGTGTACTAGTCGACAAATAAATATTTTGCTAGAACTCTATTTTTTTTTATCAAAAGATAAAGAAACCACCCATTTACCAAATTTCAACTATCCAAATGGTGAAAGGTTTTTTCAATTTCAATGCTAATTTCAAATTTGGGTCCGAATAAACAACAACATTTCTGGACTAAAATAAAATTTTCCCCTGTTCATTAGTCATGTCGCCCGGCCCCCCTACATTTCTTTTGCTTTCCCTTTAAATTTTTATTCTACAAAAAAAAAAAAAAAAAAAAGATTTACTGTTATCAGGACTGCATTAGTGTAGAATGGTATAAATTTAAAATCACCCATTGTGAAAGAAAATTTGCTCGCCCTTGATGGTATTGGACCGGGCATGATTTGGGGTTTTTTTTGAACTTTGGGAAAAAAAACAAAAATTTTTTTGCTCTTTGAGCTCAATTTCAAGGTTTCTTTTCTTGTGAAACCAACCTGGCCATACAAAATAGTCAAGGGACTTGTAACAAGATAAGCCTGGTCACTACAACATCAGTCAGTACTTGTAACCCAAACCCAAGCTGGCCCCTACACATCAGTCGTATTGTAACCAAGTAAGCCCGTCATACAAATCAGTCAGTATTGTAACCAAGACTAAGCTGGCCCCTACAACACGTCAGTAATTTTAACCAAGGCTAAGCCTGGGCCACACAAAATAGTCAGTACTTGTAACCAAGCTAACCCCCGGGCATCAAATCAGTCAACTTGTAACCAAGCTAAAACCTGGCCCCCTACAACATCAGTCGTACTTGTAACCAGCCAAGTTTTTCACTACAACATCAGTGTACTTGTAACAAGACTAAGTTGGTCATTCAACTCACTTTACTTGTACCCAACCAACCTGGCAAAAAACAGGTGATTGGCCAAAATAAGCCGGCCCTAAACATCTCATACTTGTAACCAAAACTTAAAGCCCGGCCACAAAAACTTTAAACAGTTTTGTACCAGAAACAAACCAACGCAAAAACCCGGAAAAATATTCGGGACCCTTAAGGCCTAACAGTATCCGTTTTGCGGAAAAATACAATGGGTAATAAACCCCAAAACTAGGGGGGGCCCCGTAACCACTCCGGCACTTTTTTAAAGGGGGAATTTGGCACACAACCCCCAAGGGAGGTGAATTGTCCCCAAAAATTTTAAGAGAAAATTCACGCCCATTATGGGGGGGGTTAAACCCCTCATTTACGGAGCAAATTTTTAAAACCGTTTCCCCGGGCGCGGCGGGAGAATTTTTTATTATATCACCGGAAAAACCCTGGGGATAGACGTTTCAAGAAAAACCCACAAGGAAAAGCAAAAGGCTTGGGCGTGGGAACCCCCAGGAAAACAGGGGGGTGCACTACACTTAAAAACCCTCTTTTAAGGCCCAGGGGCCCAACTGTTTTTAACTTCCCGCTTAAGGGGGATTTCCCAAAAACCCTCAGTCTTAAAGCTGGGCCCGGCAAACACAAACGGTTTCTGACCGGGGGGGCTGTCTTTTGGTTTCGGCAAACCCGCAGTAAAATGTTGACCGGCTATCCCCCGGGCCTTACAAAACCGGGCCCGGGGGGGGGGTTTAACCCCAAACTTCTCCAGGGAAACCCGGGGAAAAAACTAAACTTTGGGCCCCACAACATCAGTCATACTTGTACCCAAAACTAAGTCTGGTTAAACCTCATCAGTACTTGTAACCAAGCCTAAGGGCACTACAACATCAGCAGTACTTGAACCAAGCCTAAGTTGGCCATACAACATCAGTCGTACTTGTTTAACCCAAGTAAAGGGGACTACAAAAACAGTCATACTTTTAACCAAGCTAAGCCTGGCCACTACAACATCAGTCAGTACTTTAACCCAAGACTAAGCTGGTACTTTCAACATCATCTTCTTGTAACCAAGACTAAGCCGGCCCTACAAAATCAGTCGTCTTGTAACCCAAACCCAAGCCTGGTCACTACAACCGTCAGTACTTGTAAACCCAAAACTAACTGGCATACAACATCATCAGTACCTTGTAACCAAGACTAAGGGCCCGGTCACTACAACTCAGTCAGTACTTTTTAACCCAAGATAAGCCCCGGCCCCCTACAACACAGTAGTATTGTAAACAAGCCAAGTCTGGCCCCCTACAAATCAGTCAGTACTTGTAACCCAAGCTAAACCTGGCACTTAAAAAATCAGACTTTTAACCCAAAACTAAGTTGGGGACTAAACTCAGTCAGTATTGTAACCCAAACCCAAGTCGGCCCCTACAAACACAGTATACTTGTAACCAAGCCTAAGCTGGCCACTACAACATCACAGACTTTTAAAACCCAAACAAGCCCGGCCCCTACAACATCTCAGTACTTGTAACCCAAGTAAGCTGGCCATACAAAATCGTCAGTACTTGTAACCCGCTGCCTGGCCCCTACAACTCGTCAGTACTTGTAAAAAAGCCTAAGCCCGGCACTACAAAATCAGTCGTACTTTAACCAAGACTAAGCCGGCCACTACAAATCCATCTTGTAACCAAGATAAGCTGGACTACAACCAGTCAGTACTTGTACCAAGCCAAGCGGCCCTAAACATGTCATACTTGTAACCAACTAAGCCTGGCCTAAACATCAGTCTCTTGTAACCAAGCTAACCTGGACTACAAAAGTGTATTTTACAACCTAGTGGCCCAAAAAATCACATCCTTTTAACCGCCCAAACCCCGGCCCCCCTCCCAGTAGAACCCCCCCCAAAATGGATACCCGCAGTTTTTTTAAACCCCCAGGGGTCCCGAAGAAGAAAAAGAACCCCCCCGGGGAAAAAGGCCGAAAAACCCCAACCCCCCCCTTCCCCACACCCCCCTAACCCCCCCCCCCCCCCCCCATTTCCCTTTTTAAAATCCCCACTTCCAAACCCCTAAAAACTCTAAACCCCCAAAAAAACTCCCCCCCCCCTTTTTCCCTTTCCCCCAATTCCCACCCCCCCCTACCCCCTCCCCCCCCCCCAAACCCCCCCCTTCCCCCCCCCCCCCCAAAAAACCCAAACCCCCCCCCCCCTCCCCCAACACCCCCTCCCCACACCCCCCCTTCCCCCCCCCCCAAACCCCCCCCCAAAACCCCAGTGGGGCCCAAAACCCCGCCCCAAACCCCCCCAACCCCCCCCCGGGTGAAAACCCCGGGTACGCCCCCCCCCCCCTTTTAAAATCCAAACCCCCGTAAAAAGCCCAATGGGGAACACCGCCCGGGGGGGGAACCCCAGCCCCAATGCCCAAAAACCCAAACGTTTGGGAACCAAAACAAACCCAAACCCCCCAGGGTAACCCCCCAAGTTGGGAATTTTTATAGGGCGTACCAAACTTAGTTGGATTACAAAAAATTTATTTTTTAAAAAGTACGAGTGGGACGCCCACACCCCCGCCCGAGAGGGACGCCCACACCCCCGCCCGAGTGGGACGCCCACACCCCCGCCCGAGTGGGATGCCCACACTTGTGTTATCCCAGGTTCTGTACACATATACTGCTATGTATGATAATCTATAACTATTTATGTATACCTGAATATAATAATAATGGGAGAGAGCTAAACCCGTAGGATTATACAGCTCATATGTGGGGGATGGAAGGTATTCAGGCTGAATTCAGGTTACTGGAGTACAGATCCAATTCCCTAGATCAAGAGCCCCTCACCAGCATCAAGGAACCTCCCTGGAGGGGTATACCTGAGTAAACTCACCTGGGTACAGTATCCACCTTCCCACTAAAGACATAATTATCCGCAGAATGGAAAAACTGGAGCGATGACCAGGTGCCCCTCCTAGTGCCCGCTGGGCATAATAGATGAGAACAAGCGTCCCAGAGAGAACGGTGGAAAATTGTCACTACACTAAGAGGCCCCGGGTTCGATCCCCGGCATCTTCAAGGGTCATTCCCCTCAAGGAAGGTTCCTTGATGTTGGTGAGGGGCTCTTGATTTAGGGAATTGGATCTGTGCTCCAGTTCCCCGAATTAAGCCTGAATGCCTTCCACATCCCCCCCCAGGCGCTGTATAATCCTCCGGGTTTAGCGCTTCCCCCTTGATTATAATAATAATAATAATCCAAGGGTCATTCGTAATTTGAAGGACCACAATGGAAATAAGTCACTCTGTCTGACTTTTTTGGGTTATCCCAGGTTCTCTACACATATGCTGCTATGTATGATAATTCTATGTAACTGTATTTGTGTATACCTGAATAAACTTAGTTACACAGGCAAGGGAGAGACGTCCACTCCCGACGAAGGCTGGTGCAGGAGTCCTGAGGACGGTGTTGTTGTTGTTGTTTATAGAGCCGCTGACAACGTAGGTCGTACCGAACCCGACCTTCCAGTACCCGGAACCTTGACCCAAGTGGAAGGAAATATCTTTATTTCTACAAGTACATGTACAAGGTATACAGACCATCAATGGCAGACTGGAGTTACATTCATCGAGTGAGAGGGACTGAGCCCTGGCTGAGTTTGTCCCTGGACCCATTATGTACCTTTGTAATCTTTTGACTACCGCCCACAGGATGGGTGTGGGGAGCATAATAAAGATATTAAACTAACTCCTATTACTAAACATAATGAGGGCAAATTCCTGGTCCTACACCTTGATATCAACCTGAAATTCAACACCAATATATAACGAATAACAAAAAAAAAGTATCCAAAACAGTTGGGATCCTCTCCAAGATACGTTACTACGTACCACAATCAGCCCTACTCACACTATACCATTCACTCATCTATCCCTACCTTACCTATGCTATTTATGCCTGGGGATCAACAGCAGCAACACACCTAAAGCCAATAATAATCCAACAAAAAGCTGCAGTAAGAATTATCACGCACTCCAATGCAAGACAACACCATCCCCCCTGTTCAAAGATCCAACTCACTGTTCAGAACATCCACACTTACTACTGTGCAACCTACATTTACAGAACCATAAATTCTAATATTAACTCTGAACTAAAACACTTTCTTGATAGTTGCAACAGAACCCATAGACACAACACCAGACACAAAAAATCCCTGACATTCCCCGTGTCCAGCTAAACCTCTACAAAAATTTGATATTCAAATGGTATACAATACCGACAGGTTGGTAGATAAGACACATAGGCAACTTTATTCTGAAACGTTTCGCCTACACAGTAGGCTTCTTCAGTCGAGTACAGAAAGTAGGCAGGAGCAGTAGAGATGTGAAGACGATGAAATCAGTCCATCACCCTTGAAGTCGTAGATTTGAGGTTGTCAGTCCCTCAGCCTGGAGAAGTTCTGTTCCAAAGTCTGGAACTGAAGATCAAGCGACAGTGTTGAGACTTAAATACTGTCGGAAGGAGAGGTGCAGAGGAGTAGTAGTGAGAATGTAGCCACTGGGAGGTCATGTCCTTCTCAGATTAAACAATTCTCACTTGAAAAAATTGTCCAAGGTGTTTTCTCTTCTGTACCAAGATGCCATTGTGTTGCAGTGTCTGACAGAGTGATTTTCAAATGGTATACAATATCGACAGGTTGGTAGATAAGACACATAGGCAACATTTAGGCAACTTTAGGCTACATTCTCACAACTACTACTCTGCACCTCTCCTTCCGACAGTATTTAAATCTCAACACTGTCGCTTGATCTTCAGTTAGTTCCTGACTATGGAGCAGAACTTCTCCAGGCTGAGGGACTGACAACCTCAAATCTACGACTTCAAGGGTGATGGACTGATTTCATCGTCTTCACATCTCTACTGCTCCTGCCTACTTTCTGTACTCGACTGAAGAAGCCTACTGTGTAGGCGAAACGTTTCGGAATAAAGTTGCCTAAATGTTGCTTATGTGTCTTATCTACCAAAATTTGATATACATTAAAGGGCCTAAAATCTGGAACTCCCTGTCTGAAAACTCCAGAACTGCAGACTCAACCACCATTTTCAAAACTACCGTTAAAAAATATCTCGTCTCCCTAACACACCCCATCATCAGCTAACCAAATGAAAAAGGTAAGATTTCTTCAAATTTTTAACCTCGGAAGGTTAGCCACCCTGAATAAAACGCAAGAAAGTCAGTGCGTCATCGAGGACTGTCTTATTTCCATTGTAGTCCTCAATCTTGTCCCCAGGATGCCACCCACACCAGTCCACTAACACTCAGGTACCTATTTGCTGCTAGGTGAACAGGACAACAGGTGTAAGGAAACACGTCGAAATGTTTCTACCCCGACGGGAATTGAACCCGGGCCCTCCGTGTGTGAGGCGAAAGCTTTGCCAGCCAGGCCACAGGGTCACCTAATTCTCTTTTTTTGTATCATCAACACATCCAAAACAATATATACTAAGTCTCGTTATCTGTAATTCCCCCATAATTTACACCTACACTCACCCAGATAACTGTAAATATAAAATGTCTAATATAGCTATTGCCTACTAAATCTTAAGTTAGCCTTATTAAATCTTAAGTTAGTCCTAAGTTTGCCTGAGATAATCTTCCAGTATATGAGTTTTAATAGAAACAGTGAATCATGCCAAGACAAATACAATCCCATTAAATAACAAAAAAAAAGGCACAATACTACCACCACTACTACTACTACTTCTACTACTACTACTACTACTACCACCACCACCACCTCTTCCTGCCTATATATAGCCGTCCTGCTCCACTTCTGGTTAGTGTGACTTTGTAAATGGTCCAAGTCGGACCGAAACGTCTATGTGAGGGTTATTTGTGTAGCAATCCCATTACTCAATCTACCATTTGTAATATTTTATATGATCTGTGCTACCTATTTTAAGCCTAATTATGCATGTACCTAACTGGGTATGTATCTAATTACGTATCTAATAATAAGTTCAGATATACTGCTCAATTATAACCTATATCAAAATAGCGTAAGAATTAGTATTAGTCTGCTCGAAGTGCTTAGGCACGATTCTGGCCATCTTTGTAATTAATATTTTATAACATGTAAACCACACATTGTAAGACATACAAGAAAATAAGTATCTGAATTTGATTTTGAAGAAGTCTTCCTTCGATCCCCGTTGGGAGGGGAATTTATTGCCTACGGTATAACCTGTACACCTCCAAGATGTCTCTTTGTGTCAAGATAACACCTTCAAGTTCTATGGTGAATGATGCCTCCAAGCTTGCTCTTACTGGTGCCTTTAAAAGCTGCCTGCAAGTCAAGTTCTGTAGTCTGGCCTCCCTCAAGGACGCCTTCCTGGCCACCTGCACCACCCATGAGGACGACGACAAACTCCACACTCCTACAGCTATCCAAACTCTCAAAGATCGTGGAGCTGTATAGCCCTTGTGGCTTAGCGCTTCTTTTTGATTATAATAATAATAAAAGATCGTTTCTTTATCATTTCTGACTCTCCATACGTGAAGGCAAAACGTTCTGTTTTCGTTAAATGACTGGAGAGGATAGTCACGGCTTTCTCTATTGAGGAACTCAAGTCAACCATGGAAGACCAGAATATTTTGGCCTCGGTGGACACTGTCACTGAAATTCCCAACGCCGCCTCAAAGATCTAGATCACGTTTTCTGACACTGCAATGGCTGCCTAGCTATATTGAACCTGAATGCTTCAAACAGGCCCCAGGTCTTGTAAACAAAGCTCTGGCTTCACACGTTGAGCGTCTGGGTTCGATTCCTGTCAAAGGTAAAAACATTGGATGTGTTTCCTTACACCAGTTTTCAATGTTCACCCATCAGTAAAATGGGAACCTGGGTGTTAGCAGATTGGTGTGGGTCGCATCCTGGGTGTTAGTGAACTGGTGTGGGTCGCATCCTGGGACATAACTAATCTAATTTGCGGGAAATACTCAGCATAAAAAGGACTGTAGATGAATGGTTCACAGAACCGACACGTTGATAAATTAGACACGTGTACAATTTTTCGGTATCTTTATTAAGGAAACGTTTCGCCACACAGTGGCTTCATCAGTCCATACACAGTCCATACACGTTTCCTTAATAAAGATATCGAAAAGTTGCACATGTGTCTAATTTAATAACAAGTGACTTTCTATATAGTAGTATGACATTGATGTCAGCTATGGTCTGTATACTTTGTACATGTACTGGTATACCTTGTACATGTACTTGTAGATGTGTTGTACCATCTCCACTTCAGAAGTGCTGTACTACTACCTGGTGTATGCTTACCTTGTTAATGCAGCAAATTCTGGCATATATAATACTACTATCAACTAACTCTTCCGTCTAAGCAACATGCCTATCTTTATTTACTACCAGTACATGTACAAGGTATACAGACCATAGCTGACATCAGTGACATACTACTATATAGCAAGACTCTTGTTATGCTGAGCATTTCCCGCAAATTAGGTCAGTTTTGTCCCAGGATGTGACTCACACCAGTCTACTAACACCCAGGATGTGACCCACACCAGTCCACTAACACCCAGGATGTGACCCACACCAGTCCACTAACACCCAGGATGTGACCCACACCAGTCCACTAACACCCAGGATGTGACTCACACCAGTCTACTAACACCCAGGATGTGACCCACACCAGTCCACTAACACCCAGGATGTGACCCACACCAGTCCACTAACACCCAGGATGTGACCCACACCAGTCCACTAATACCCAGGATGTGACCCACACTAGTCCACTAACACCCAGGATGTGACCCACACCAGTCCACTAACACCCAGGATGTGACCCACACCAGTCCACTAACACCCAGGATGTGACCCACACCAGTCCACTGACACCCAGGATGTGACCCACACCAGTCCACTAACACCCAGGATGTGACCCACACTAGTCCACTAACCCAGGATGTGACCACACCAGTCCACTAACACCAGGATGTGACCCACACCAGTCCACTAACACCCAGGATGTGACCCACACCAGTCCACTGACACCCAGGATGTGACCCACACCAGTCCACTAACACCCAGGATGTGACCCACACTAGTCCCTAACACCCAGGATGTGACCCACACCAGTCCACTAACACCAGGATGTGACCCACACCAGTCCACTAACACCCAGGATGTGACCCACACCAGTCCACTAACACCCAGGATGTGACCCACACCAGTCCACTAACACCCAGGATGTGACCCACACCAGTCCACTGACACCCAGGATGTGACCCACACCAGTCCACTGACACCCAGGATGTGACCCACACCAGTCCACTAAAACTAAGGTACCTACTTACTGTTAGGTGAACATGGACAGGTGTCTTAAGGAAACATGTCCTAATGTTTTCAGCCGTACCGGGGATCGAACCATGGACCTCAGTTTGAGACTTAAGTCCGCTACCAATCGAACTACGGGACACCTAATTTAGTCTGTCAGAAATACACATGTTAA